AAAGACATTTTTAAATCATCAAAACCATAAAATTCATTTCCTAGGGATCCTGTACTATATTTAATTTTAAAGGAAGTTCTTCAGGGTGAAGGGAAATGATACTGGATGGTGACCCAGATACACAGAAAGGAACAATTAACAGCAGGAATGATGCACACACACGTGTCACATTCACATTCATTTTCTTAATTTCCTGAAGACATATGGCTGTTTGTCTAAAACAAAAAGTATTACACTGTATCATTGAGTTTATAATATAGATTGATGTCATATATAAAACAATAGTAGCATAATGGTAGGTTAAAGGAAACTACACTGTTACAAGTATCCTTTATTTTGCTGGATGTAGTTTAATAGAACCTGAACTTCACTGTGAGAAGTCAAGAAATTGGGTTTTCATTCTTACAACAATAAAAAACTAGTGTAAAGAAATATAGCTAAAAGCCACTAAGAGAATTAAAACCATAAACTAAAAACTGTTTGACACATAAGAAAGTAGCAAAGGAGGAACAGAAACAAAAAGGTATGAGACAAATTGAAAACATTTAGCAAAACTGTAGACCAAAATCCAACCATTGTAAGTAAAGAAATGACAGGACCTTGCTCACATTAGCAGGACCGCTGAGCACTGTGGGGAGAACAGACATGGGCAGGAGGTGAGGGGCAGTGTTAGTGCCACCATTCAGGAGTGACAGGGCAGCGGGGACTAAGGGGAAGGGGGAGTGTGAGGGATGACAGGGACAGAGAGAAGGGCTGGAGAAGCAGGAGGTGAGGAAAAGGAGCAGAGGAAAAAATTCTAAAGCAGGGGAAGAGCCTAGCAGGGGGTTCTTTGCATTCGGTATTCAATACACTTTGTTGGACTTCCTAAAAACTAATTGGCTCCTTATGATTAAAAAAAAAAAAAAAGAATTACAAAAATGCCAAGTCTCCAGATAAAATACGCACACTGCTTAGATGTGCAAAGTTCAGGAAAACAGGCAGTGTTTGAGCGTCGGTGAAGAGCATTGGGACTGCATGCAGCACTCGCAACTTTGAGGTGATGACTACAGGCTCCCGGTTGCAATAGACAGTAACAAACTCTGCTTCTTTGTATTGAGAAGATGTTCTGGACTCACACAGGGAAACTCGGGCTAAGGAATGAAGGTAATTTTAAATGTAACAACCCAGAGTCACAGAGCCATAATCTGGGAAAGTAAAACTTAGGAGCTTTGTAATGCTGTTTTGACACAGGTCTTTTACAAATCGGAATTCTAATCATTCCGGGATTACCAACATTGTGCTACCTACTGTATTAATAAACAAAAAGGAAACTTCGTCTCTATGAGAATCTCTATGTGGTGCCTTCAGACAAAACTTCACCAGGTTTAGAGAGAAAACCTCTGTCTCTACACCTCCATTCCCAGGGCGAGCTCACTCCGGCATGAAGTTCCCCGTGGTCAGTTTCCCTGTACAAAGGTCCAAGGGGAGAGGTAGGAGTGGGAGGCAGGGAGTCCAGTTCAGGGTCGGGGATTCCAGGACGAGTAGGGAAGGGGAAGGGGCTGGGCGCAACCTGGGGGTCTCTCCCTGGTTTCCACAGACAGAACCTTGTCCAGGACTCAGGCAGACAGTGTGACAAGGAGGCTTGGTGTAGGAGAAGAGGGATCAGGACGAAGTCCCAGGTCCCAGGCGTGGCTCTCAGGGTCTCAGGCTCCGAGAGCCTTGTCTGCATTGG